GGCAAAGAAAAAGAAAAAAAAATCGCAGAGGGTTTCTTTTGTGGCTGTGTGTGAGCAGTTGTTGAGAGAGAAAAAGAGAGATCTTAAGGAGAGAGAAAATAGGGTTTTACAAAAGAGAGGTTTATTTCTTTTGGATAAAAATCAGATCTATTTTTCTTTGAGGCGAGCTTGTGGATTGTACAAGTCGTCGGTGTTCTTCTTATAGTGGAATCTCCCCTCACCCCTCCCGTGGACATAGGCAAATTTGCCGAACCACGTAAATCTCGTGTATTTACTGTTTTCTGGGTTGTTGGCTATTGCTTGTAGGATCCCTCAAAATTCGGCCTTGCGCTGATGAGAGGAAGAGTAGATATCTCACTTCGCTGAGATATTTCGCTACTGAGTCTGGGTTTCCTTCGCGAAACACAGATATCGAGGTTGACTTGTGCTTTTGTGACAACATAAGCCAGGGCTCTCTCTCAGGACATATCGCTTCCGCGGCGGTGGTTGTGACAACATAAGCCAGGGCTCTCTCTCAGGACATATCGCTTCCGCGGCGGTGGGCGTGACTCTGCGCCCAACAGATAGAGAAGAAGAAAGAGATGCCAGAGAGGATGAGAAACTATGTGAGATATATATAAGAAAGAGGAGGAAGATAGTAGAAAAAGGTGGGAGGGAGGAGGAAAGGCCACGGTGGAAGAGGGTAAAGAACGGAGGAGAAGAAAGATATAGAGGAGGAGGAAGAGGAGAGGCGATGATATTGAGAGAGAGAGTCGAGAGACAATGACATGGGTGAAGGCGCTTAATAACGGAGAAGGAGAGAGAAGATGAGAGAGGTTGAAGGTGAGAAAGGGAGTGAGATGAGAGAGGGTAAGAGAGATTGAAGATGAGAGTGGATGCACGAGTAATTGAGAGATTGAAGATGAGATGAGAGGAGAGATATGAGAGAAGTTCACGATCGAGTTCGCGGGGAAATGAGAAGGGGAAAAAAAGAGTGAAAAAAATGAGAGAAAAAAATGAATAAGGAGAGGATATATTTAAAAATTATGAAAAACATTACATTTACATGAATTAGTGGGCCTTTTGAATTGTTTTTTGAGGTCAAGAAGGTATTTTAAGCTAGTTCAAAAAGATTGATGAGGTGCTTGTAGGTTGGTTTCTTAAAAATAAGGACCCAATGCAAATTTCCCGATTTTCTTTAGATAGGACAACAGTGGACGATGTGTCATCCTCAGCTTTTTGTTCAACGTGTCACATCATAAATGGACACTGGTACGGAAAATGTGACTAAAAGAGACGTGTCATAAAATTTCTAGAAATAAATAACACAAGAAGAAGAAGAAGAAGAAAAGTTTAAGATCCCCACTCCTTCGACAACTACGGCTAGTGTTAAGAGTTCTGGCGTGATCAATGACCATACAGATCCTATTCTCAGTACGAACTTTATTTGAAGTGTTAATTTATTCATGCGTGTATTTTGGGGTGATCTTCAAATTTAAGTTTTGTTCTCCGGGTTGTTTGGTTCAATTTCTACAAATTATAGAAAAAAATTTCTATCCAAAATATGATTTTTTTCGTATTTTTTTAAAAAATATAGGAAAAATTTTGAAGAGTCAAAAAGTACAGTTTTTCTTGGTTTTTTACTTTGCTTGTTTGGTTCAAAACAAGAAAACGACCCATGGCTTTATAGAAAATAACAGGATTTTCTATCATTTATAGAAATTGAACCAAACACCCCCTGAATTTATAGAAAAGCGTAAATGTTGTGTCAGATTTATGGGTGCTTTTCGCCCATTTTGAGAGATTAATTTCTGTAAATTTTGGTATTTTTTTATACTTTACAGAAAATATTTCTGATTTTTTTTGAACCAAATATAGTTTACGAAAATCTATAAAAAAAAATTTAATTACAGAATTACCATTGTCAGACATTTTGTGAAAACTTTTTTATAAAATTGTGCAACCAAACACACCATAAACTCTAAATTTTACTTGATGTATAATTTTGACTGGGGCAATATTTTAGGCTCTGCAGACCATGCAAAGTTTAGCATCACGTTATGAACTTACAGAATAATAATAATAATAATAATAATTATTATTATTATTATTATTATTATTTTGGTTTTGTTTCTCTTCCCTCACGTGATGTGAGTGGGAAAATTATGTCCTTGATCAATTTAATCTATTGCGAATCTTTAACCAAGACATAGAATAAGATGCGTTTAAAACTCCAATTCCAAATTATCTCTCAATGACCTCTAATTATATGTCTTGGTTTTTCTATAGTTCTTAATATTATATAAAGCAATTATTTAAAAAAAATCAATACTATAGTAATAAAATACAAATCTAGTTGCATATTTTTGCCAATCGGCAACGTGTAAGAGCTCTAACATTTAATCACTAATAATCTTTTTTTTCATCATCTCACATTAATCCACCGCTCTCCGCATTTCGAAAATCTATATTCTTTATTTTTTAATTTCCTATAAACTATTTATTTTGCTCTCTGTTTTGTAAGAGGTCTTATTTTTTTACCTTTCTCTTACCCAAAAAGTCTGATATATACAAACACAAGAATACTAATTTACTCCCGTGCATGCCATGGGTAACAATTATTATTATATAAGGAAAAACGAAGTTTCTGCCTTAAATTCATTCTCAAAATTCGACGATAATACAAAAATCTATCATGATAGGATCATACATATATTTTTCGGTTTGATTCAGAAAGCATTAAATCTACCTCCAATATTATCACTTCCCTTATTTTTAATTGTCCATGTAATCTCACGTGGATTCCATTTAAAGACAAGCAGAATGCATAAATCTACCTCCAATTATGTATATATACTATTCTTTGATACACATACCAAAGAAACATACATGTTACTTTAATAAATTTCTATATGAATAAAGCCTTTATTAATTGAGAATTATGAATAAAGCCTTGTTAGGAAAATGGATTTGGAAATGGTTTGATAGAAAACTCAGTCTGTGGAAACAAATTAGCTTTTACAAATATTTTGAAAACAATTGGTCTGAATATTTTTACTCTAGAAGAGTTTATCTATCTCATTTTTGGAGAAATTTTTTTACTAATGTGGATAGCTTTATTTGCAGTTCCTAAGTGGAGGTTGGAGAAGGAAATCAAACTTTATTTTGGCTTGATAAATGGTTAGATTCACATACTCTTGCAGCCATATATCCATCCTTATTTGTTAATACATCCTCTCCTTTTGCTACTGTGAGTAGTATGAGAAAGAAAGAAAATGATATCTAGAGATGGGATTTGCAATTTAAAAGACAATTAACAGGGGCTTTAGTGTTATAGTATTTCTCTCTAATGGATTTACTTAATTCCATATGTTTAGAGCAAAAAGAGGATAAAAGAAAATGGTTGTGGGAATTGAAAGGGGACTTCACAGTGAAATCTTATTATCTTTTTTTAATTGATGGAGGTATGAGGTGTGATTATGCAGATATATGGAAGTTGCCTATCCCTTTGAAAGTAAAATTTCTTGTATGGCTGGCTTTCAGGCATGGTTTGAACACAAAAGATGTGTTGGAAAAAAAAGAAATACACTTAGAAAAAATTTGCTGCTTATGTTCAAAGCTGGAAGAAAGTCATACACACTTCTTCATTAAGTGTGAGTTTGTTTACTCTATATGGAGATCAATTCTGTTCAAGTTGAAAATTGAAGATGGTTTTAGTTGGAATTCTCTGAAAGAGATGTGGCATAATTTGAAAGCAGGAGAGATTGATAATGGCAAAATGAAAAGAGATGTCTTCATTTGTTCTCTTGTTTGGTGTATATGGCAGGAACGAAATGATAGACTTTTTTTTCTAATAAAAGGAAAAGATCTCTTGAGCTTTTGAACAAAATTATGAACTTCTCATCATTTTGGTTAGGTTCTAAAAAAATCTCTGCTCGAGCTATCAGACTACAAGAAAGGAGGAGGAAAAGGAATGCTGATAGAATGCAAGCTATTGATGCAGATAGAAGACAGAACAAAGCTATGGGCGATGAGGTGATCCAGCTAGAATGATGCACATTCAATCCAGGTGTTGTTTTGAGATTATCTGGTGGTGGTGTTTTAAAACTTTAGTTAGCTGTGAATCTTCTAGTTTTTGGTTTTTGATCATGGTCTTCTTTTTGTGGGAGAGACCTATAGCTATATACAGACTTGTGTTGGGGTTACTTTTGCTTTGTAATCTTGATCATGAACGTTAGTACACACTCTTGGTTGGGGGTGTGTATATTTCTTTTGTAACAACCTTTTTTTGTTAATTTAGCTGGCTGGATTATCTTTGTGATAATCCATCCTTTTCCTTTTGTAACAACCTTTTTTTGTTAATTTAGCTGGCTGGATTATCTTTGTGATAATCCATCCTTTTCTCTAAAAAAAAAAATCTATATGAAATGGATCATAATTTTCATAAAAGCCCCAAAAACGTTTAGGTCTTTCTTGCAAAACCCCTCTAAACTTTGCTTTTTCTAGTATTACTCGAAAACCTTTCCCACAACGCCCCCTGGACTCCAAAGCACCTTAAATAACCTCCCAAAACTTTTAAGTTCTTGCAAAACCCTACAAAGGACCTCTTGCAGCTGGAGTACATTATTATTTGTCGGTTTCTTTATGGTTTATTTTCTCTCGGCCCCATCCACTGATTCTTCTCTTATTCCCATTGCTTTGTTGGGGTTTTATGAGAAAAATTAAA